GAGCTACACATCTTTCAGATTTCTGAATGCAGAACATTGAAGTGACTAGAGTGCTTTTCATTTCAAAGTTGTCAGTAGTGTTTCCATCAATGCGCAGGCCAAGACCTAATACTTAATGAGTAAAGCTATGAGTTGAAGGAAGCATTAAGATGGGGAATTGAAAAAGGCCAAAATGTCTGTGTTGTTTTTTCCTCTAAGTCCGAGTCAAAGCTAAAGTCCTTAGACTACTTAAGTCCAACTGTAGTCCAGTTTTAAGTCTACTCTGTGTGATACTTTGCATTTCCTCCTTCCTCAGGCCACAAAGTGCACGTGGAGCTCCTCGGCCATCCGCCCCCTCACTGCCTTGTAGACATTCCTGACAGCGTCTCCTCTCTCTGTCTGAGGCCGCTCTCCGGACAGCTGGGTCTTAAGCAACATGATCCCCACTCAGCAGTCCCTGTGTGTGTGTGTGTGTGTGTGTGTGTGTGTGTGTGTGTGTGTGTGTGTGTGTATACAGCCTGTGTGTGCGGTTTTGTACATCCAATACACACACATGTCTTAGATATGAGAGGTGCCACATTTGTAAGATTCTTACTGAAAAACAGGCCTACAAAGAGAGATACTCTATGTATATTTAGGGAAATATCACCTTACTCTGACAAATGTTGAGCTTGTTTTGTGGATTTTTAAAAATGTATTTACAGAGTAGCGGATGTAATCTGGACAAACAGAGCTATTAGGTCCCATCAAGGGAATGTCTCACAAACAGAACACGTTGAGTTACCTCTCTGTTGATGTTTAATCTCCACCGACTGCCATGATTCCTGACATTAGGTTTTAAAAATCCTTTAGTCCCAACATATGTGACACAATATTCCTTGTATCCCTGTGTTGTTATCTACGCTCAGCGGTGTGTCCTTGCTTCTGAGGTTATTTGAGGTACAGGTTTGTGACTGTAACAGTCACGGCCAGAGAGTGGGCAGATAGAGCTGAAGATGTGGATCTGAGGAGTTCTTTCCCTGTGACTCAGTACACAGAAATGGATGTTCAATAAAAAACAAACACTATTGCCATGGTTACAGACGATTAGGAGAATGACGCCTTTGTGGATTAGAGGAGGGGGGAAATTTGTCCAATTTATCCGCAAGACCAGATCTGGGAATCAGATGACCTTTATTTGGATGAAGGCATGATAAATGGGAAACAGCAGTGAACCATGGAGAGCTGGATTTGGGTCAAGCACTCAGATTCATTTTCCCTCTTTTGCAGCCCAATATGACTCTCATTTCACCGTAGAAACCTGGTGACTCTATATTGCCTCAGCCATGGTCTGTCTCTGTACTGACTGAGGTATGCGCTCACCTGAGCCATTGTCACAAAGTGAAATACCTAAAACGGCTAAAACGAGCCTGTGGATAGCATTTCTCCGAGATGATCCCATTGCTATTTTAAAAACAAAACAAAAGAACAGCCACCCCGCTGACCCTCATCAGAGAAAAAATAACAGTAAGTCACTATGTTACACAATTAATAGATCATGTTTGACACAGATCTCTGAGGTTGTTAGTAATCAGACTGTCCCACGAGGCCTTGGCTAATTTCCTGGTAGTCTCTGCTGTTTGGGTTTTAGGAGGTTTATATTTACATGAAGCACTAGCGGTTGTGTCCTGCTAGCGTCAGATTGGACTCTGACGTGAAGAGCGAGTGAGGGAATTACACAGTAGGTTGAAGTGGAAGAGAGATACAGGTTCCTACATAATAGCAGCTTACAGGAAACAGGGTGAGCCCCGCACTCAGTGCAGGGAACAGTACTAAGCCATGACGCGTACCTGAACAAAGCTATAAATTATGCTGTGGAGTGAAGTGGTGTTGATGTGTCATCAAGCTACGCTACAAAACTTGAAGAGCCCAGACAAGCTCTCTTTTCTTTTAGGTAAGACTTATGATTACAGTCTGAATCACAACTTGACTATATTTAAACCTCAAAGCTGCCAAATTAAGACCCTTTCATTTTCTAATCCAGAGAAACGTAATTCCACCAAACTTAGATCTTTACCTCTTTCATCCTTTTGCCATAAAGTAAATTGATCACGTTTAACAAAATGTTCTATGCTCAAGGGTCCTCTTATTAGCTTTTCAGAGCGTTATCTTAAACTCTTCATCGTATGGAGCTGGCAGGTGTCATGATGTGATCTAAGCGTCTAACTTTCAATCACACGATTACAAGACAGTGAGAAGACAGGTGATTGAAAGCTCTGGAAAGCTAGTAAATGGAATATTTTGTTACACACGTTGTTTCCAAAGGTCTGGATGAACTTCCGCTCTTAATAGTGCCATTTGTAAGATCCAGAATGTAAAACAGGACATTAGAAATAAAGAGGTCTAATTCATGACCACATTGTCCTCAGTTGTAACGAGGGCACGATGTATGTCTAATCAACATTTTATGTTTACTCTGAATTTCCCAAGCAAAATATTTGCTACATAAAAAAACATTTGCCACTACAAGTTTCTTCATTTTTCATGGTGAGGCAAACTGCTCCAAGAAGAGGACAATATACTTAAGAATTGCTCAAGTCACTGAGTTATTGCTGTTGAGGATGTGAGAGGAGTTTGTGTGGGAGAGCTGGAGTGAGACATGCATCGTCTGGCCACCAACCTTCACCTCAGAACACCCTGCTCAGCTGTTACTCCATACACACAGCCTCAGCTTGTCAGCATTACACCTCGTGTTTACAATAAACGCCTGTGAATCAGACATTTGTTTCCTGCTCGGCTTAAAAAATTGAAAAGATTAATTGAAAATGTGAATGTGGGTCAGGGCCCTGCACACACTTGTTCCACACCCTCTCTATTTGTTGCATTTATCTATTCCTCAAGAATGTAACAATGCGTTGAGTGTTGCGTAGCCGTGCTCCGTCCACATAATGACGGCCTATGGAGGGATGACGGCAAGGCTACAAGTATTGCCTGAGTGTGTGTGCCAGTGCAGCGTCAGAGGATGTTTATACAGCCTGAGATCAGAGAGGAAGACACAGTGTGTGTGTCCTTGTGGTTGGTGGTGTGTGCATGTGTCCAGATGAGCGAGGAAGTAAAGAAGACAGCCTTATATTGTGTAGCCAGATGTACATGTGGATTATGACATCTCTGAAGACACTGCTTAGGGCCAATTCTAATGCATTTCAGCAGTTGCCTCAACATGAAGCACTTTTCTGCATCAATTTGTTTAGGAAAGCATAGCAGGCACTGGTGACAAAACCCATATGGCCCTTGGCCCATGGGCCAAAGGTATGTGTGTGTGTGTGAGATAGAGATTAAAGTGGTGCCAATTTGTGAAGCAGTATTTTTAGAAAGGAGGCCCGTCCGCTCCGGTAATACTTCTCAGATCAGTCTAACCCTTTGATGCGTTCATTGTAGTGTGATCCTACTTCAAAGCTGCACACAGGGACTGGATGGGATGGGATGGATAGGCGATTTGACTCTACTATACACTTCATTACTGCAGGCCCGAGATTCGGCTTACTACCACCTCTGACTCATTTGTGCTCCTAACACACACTCACGACGAAGAGGTATTTAGGAGGGCTCAGGGCAGAGAGGACACTTACTTTTCTTTTTTTTTTTTAGCTGTAAGTCCACACAGGCCTGAATTTCAGTAAAAACATTGTTTGTTAATTTCAACACTGTGGATCAAACTCCCCCTCAGTCTTTTTTAAAAACCCATCTCTATAGACTGACATTTTACTTGTTAGTCCAGTAGTTTTATCTTGTCCTATTTATGTTGTTTTGACCATTCACAGAAATACTTCCCGGCATTGTATTGTATGTGTGTATCTGTGAAGCACCTTGCACCTCGGTGTTATAGACATAAAGTTAACCAGTACTTATTTGTCTAAACTGTATATTTTCATGCTTGAATGAAATGTTCAGTGTTCTGTGTTTTTCATAGACTTTCTATGTAGTTATAAACACAAGCAACACTAGTTTTTTATTCTTTGTATCTACTACAAATATAAGACAACTGCATAAAAGAAGTCGGAAATTAAACACACTATAAAACACCTGACTTATTAATTATCGTTACCAACATCTGGCTAACATCAGCATGGCTTATAGATAGCTCTTTACAGCTCATTTAAGATACCTAATTGTTTCCACTTTTGCATTGAAATTATCTCTCTTTTGAAGGCCTTGCAAGGTTTTCTGAACATGACTAAGGCCACGCTCACTGGGTTTATTACAGTAATTATCTAGGTGTGTACCTGGTGTCACATTATAGCCATTCAAACTGCCTTTACTTCATGATAACAGGGCAGTAAAGATGACATCCTGTGTGTTTTCTCCGTGTTGTAAAGAACAGAGGCGTCTGTTAGGAAGACTGCAGAGGTATGTGTCATCCGAACACCGGTTAGAAAGCTGCCTGAATATCAACTAAAACCAATTTCATCTTTTGTAAAGCTCATTGTCAGAAACTCCATGAATATAACAAATTTAAATGTAACTTTTTTTGCATTTCAGTCCCAACAGTGACTATCTGTACCTACCACATGTCAGAAGCAGTTAAGGTGTGTTCAAGGGCACCAGTGAGCGTCCCGTGCCGCTGACTAAATCTGCTCTGCTTATCAGTTATGACTCAAGCCTGAAACCCTCCCAGTGACAAAAAGCCACATTCCACCTGACAGCAGAGAGGAAAGGGACTTTCCGGTCCTCCACTCCCTTTCTACTGTTTCTTCACTAGGAAGTGTTAAATATTCTGTTACTGACTCTGTAATGTTGTAATAAGACACTAACAAATCTTGACACCAAGTAGAAAGGTTTCCAGTTGAGAAGTGAAAAATAAAGTAGAGGAGAGCATTAAGTTATGTCAAAAATGCATGAATATTTATTCAAATAAATACACACTCAAACACACATTGAAATAGTAAATAATTTAAACAATGCAAGCTGTTTGCCAGTAACAACATAGCCCGGAAACAAATAAATTAACATCATGTGTTTAGGAGTCATTCCTCCCAGGAGAGTTAACTTGAAATAGTTTTGACAATTCAAGAGTTCAGTCTTCTGTAATCTCTCCATCCGTCTGTTTAGATTCGTTGTCCGCACTCTCCGAGAGCTCAGTCCCGAACAATCCTTCATCTCTGGACCGGATGACTTCGTCTTCCTTTTGGTCCGCGTATTATTTCTGTATGGTCCACATTGACACTAGAAGAGGATCAAAAAAGACACGTCATTAGTTTCAAGAATCTCCCCGTGCCTTCAGCTACAGGTAATGTTTATTTTTTCCTCATACATCATGTCAGCTGTATGTGATGGTGTGTCCCTCACCATATTAGGAGTGGTTAACGGCCAGAGTCCCCACAGCGGCTCAGGGGGCCCTCGCCATGCGCCTCTCCTGCTGTCCGGGCGACGCGCTTTCGTTGTCCTGCCGCGTTTTAAAGTCCTGGATGGCTTTTCTGTTCTGGTAATCAATCAGAGCCATGGTGATCACTGCGTTCCAGCAGTTCTCCTCCCCGGAACACCGGAAATCGATCTCCTTATTGTCTGTGGTTACGATGGTGAAATAGACGAACTTGCCGGTGCGCTCCACGCAGTCCACTTTCTTGATGGACTGCAGCTTGAGCTCCTTGCCCTTCGAGCGCTTCTGCGTGTCTGCGTAAATGTTGAGGCTGTCCGTGGTCAGGACGCACGTCTTCCTCTTCCAGAACTGGAGCAGGTTGTCGCTCCTCTTCTCCAGCTCTCCCTCTTTGAGGACCTGGCAGATCTCATTTGCTGACATTTTCATTGTTTATGACGGACAGGTTTGTGAGTTCCCTGCTTTGTTGCTGTGTCTGAGGAGCCCGAGGAAGGAGCTTCTCTAAAAAGGTTTTGGTAATCCAGAGTGGCGTTGTGAATGAACCAAGTTTGCATATGACTCTTATAGTCTACTCTGGAACCAAGCCCTTCCCACTTGACGTCAGATGACTTGGGAATGCATCAACAGTTGCCAGTGGAGTAATTCAAGGCTGTGTGGGCGGAAGCTGCGGTGCAGGCGGGGGAATGGGCAGAGGAAGTCCTAACGTGGACCCAATTACACTGCCAACATGTTAATTACTAATCCACATCCTGCTGCGGAGATTAGTGCAAATATTTGCCCACTCTGCAGCAAGTGATTCAGTCTAATATGGTTATTTACCAGATGTGCACAGGGTGAGCTGAGCACAGGCATAAAAAGTCAGTCTAGCTTGTAAACTGTTAATATCATCATTCATTTCAGAGGGTTTTTTGAATTCACTTATAAGGTTTATGATACAGACTTTTTCCATGACAGCCTGGTAATTCATTCCCTTTTATAACCCTCCACTGTGCCAAGTAGGTGCTGTGCCACCCTGCTCTCTAGTGATTCTCTTAAAAGGTCCTTCAGACTAAACCATGTCTCACTTCAGTGGGGTTTTACATAAACTCTGCTATTCCTGTCTGGATGTCAAGCACCTGAAATGCACCCAAACAGCCCACAAGCACAGGATTCATATGACTGCATATCAGCAGCTAAACAGAATGGGTATGTAAGCGGCAGTTTCTGTGCAGTTAAAAACAGACAGGAATCAGGCAGAGAGTGGTTTTTAAAATGCATTTTCAAGTCGGTTCAGCATGTAAATGTAAGTTTGCCTTAAGTAGTGAAGTGTTTATTCTGTTTACATTAGTTAGCACTGAGAGTATACATGCAAGGCTGCTCCCAATGATCTTAACATGTACAAGTGTCCATCATGTTTTCATTAAACTACAAAAAAGCAAAGTCTTTAGATAGTTTTAACTCTCAAACAATGCATGCTGGGAAGTCTGTTAGTATGTTGATTGTGTTTTGTTTTATGAATTGAGTGAACTCTCAGCAGTACGTTCATTCAACTCATCACTTCAAGTCAAAAGTCACTTCAATGTGAATTTAAGTTCGGAAATTTTAAGTTCTGAAGTGGTCTGAAAGTTAAAACTAGAAATGCTAAGTAGAATTAGTTGATTCCACTAAATTTACAGTGTGTTTAAATCAAGGTCAGCTATAAATCTGTCACGATTTTACAGTCACATGATTTTGATGAAAATGAAAACTATATTGAATGAGTCAGATGCCCTTTGAAATACTGCTGCATAGGTGTGTCCTCTCTGATATCGCCCTCACTCCCATGCCGAGCCCCTTCACTAACAACTGAGCACACTGTCACAGACTGACAGATTTCACATGTGAATCACTGAGCTCCTGGAGCATGTGTTATTTACCATTGTCTTGTGTTTAAAGATGCATGTGATTAACCAACAGAGAATAAAGAAAATGATTGGATGGTAATTAAATGTACCCAGAAGTAGCCTGTTAATGATGCGTTCACCTCTGAAATTATGATATATTTTGCTCCCATACATGATAGTAGCCTACATTAGCTATTTTTAACAGTTATCTTTGCACTGGTATTATTTGGTATCGGAGTTAAAGAAGAGTTTTGCATTATCGCCCACCCCTGCTTGAGGAACATCACCCACACAAATACAACCCTGGGCCCAGTGTGCAGTTTGGATACACCAACTGGGGTGTATCACTTTTGTGCACTACGGCGAACAGGAATCAAGCACCCACTTCAGGCTCTCCTCTCTGCCTTGCTATCAGTTTCCTCTCGCAGACATTTTGGAAACATCCCCCCTCCAGTTTCCCTCAGGAACTGAAATGTCATTGTGGAGTGTGGACACCCTCCTCACACACACACACACACACACACACACACACACACACACACACACACACACACCAGTTCTCCCATACTTATGCAACTAGCTATGTGACATTTGACAGCACCAAGGCGTAACCATGGGGAATCACTTTAAACAACCTAAGCAACCCCTGCGTGAGTGCTGACACTGTCCTGCTCCAGTGTCAGGTTGTGGTGGCCAGTTTAATCCTCAGATCTAAAAAAAAAAGATGTTTCGGTTGAGTTGGTAGGTGCACTACTGCCTCTTTACCACCCCCTTTTGTTTTAGGGGCTTTCATCTTTGTTGCCTGGCAGTATGTGTGTGCGTGTGATGTGTGCATAGTGCATATATAGGTTTTTGTTTGAGGGAGTATTGCATTGGAGACTTGCAGACATGCCCAGGCAGTGACTCAGCATGTGGTGGAGCGCCTAACTTTGGAGGAGTTTGCTTGCCAAAGGAGGGCCAGGTGTGTATATGTGAGACAGAGTGTGTGCACATGTGTGGATAAATATGTCATGTCTAGCCGTGCGTCTATGGACCATCATTTACCATCTGTGAAGATGATTGGAGAGATGAATTATATGCAACAGCAGGGTAGTGCTAGTACGTGTGTCTGAGAAAATATAGAGAAAAAAGAAAGAAAGAATTCTCTGTGGACACACTAAGCCAAGTCCGAAGAAACACTAATGGTTAACATCCAGTAAGTAACCCTTACAATGTATAATATATTCATATACAGTCAGTACAACCTACCGAACCAAAGGACACTAAAGAATAGTACCCACCCCAGCCACAGCCTGGTCACCCTGCTGCCTTCTGGGAAGAGATATAGAAGTTTCAGCTGCCGCACCACCAGACTGCAGAGCAGCTTTCCCCCCAAGCAATCAGACTTTTAAGCTTAAAATCCATCCTCGGCACTGCTCCATTGATTATAATTTATTTCTGTTTACCATTTTTATAATTGCTTCTGTATTAATGTATATTGTCTGCTATGTAGCAGAAGGGAGTTACAAAACTCACTTTCACTCTATAACCTGTTTATATTGTGACAACAAAATGTACCTACCTACCTCAGTCTTCAGTCTTTTTAAATCAAGTGTTCTAATAAGCTGTCAACACATTACATACAGTAGACAGTGAAAGTGGTGGAAGAGCTGAAGCACTCAAAACTTCACTAAGCATATATTGCTACTGTTGAGTTATGGCAGCAGTAGAACTCCACTGTGTCACCTTGTTCTCTAGGGTGGTGGGAAAGTAAAATTATTTTTAAGGAGGGAGTCAGACTGTGTGATGGATCTCAGGAGGTGTGTTGTGACAGCCTCGGGTTCAAATCAGCACCTTCCGGTTCTCACTGTCTCCGCACAGACAAAACAGAACCCCCCAGAGACACACTAAGAGAGGAAGTAAGATGTGTCATCTGCAACAATTGAGGGGTGTTTTGGTTACAAAATTACAAAACAGATGGAATATGAGTTACTGAGCACAAGGGTAAAAAACAACTACATGTCTGTTGTTCTTTTCCCCGCATTTCCTTGAGTGTGATGGGGTTTTGCAGCCGGGGGCACATGGGTGTGACTAGACAGTAGGTGGAAGGACCAGAGTTTGATATTCGTGTTGGGATTATCTGTGAGTCACAGCACACAGAACACCTAAAATACACTCAGAGGAAGTCAACTGATTGAACCCTGCTGCAATTAATTTGGTTGGAGTAAAAATAAGTTACTTTTCTATTTATATATTCAACTTCATTAAACTTGGTGGGTTACATAAAACAGGTCTGCAGAACAGAGACAAAATAAATCTACTTTGTTATAGCCATTGACAACAAGCAACTATACATTTTTAAGATGATTCATCATTGGACACTTGAAGTATAGAAACAAACTGTGAACACCACTGACGTATCATCACCTTTAAAGATAACATGGCAGACTTGTCAACAAAGAGTAACTGTCAGAGACAGCAGGTAAGGAGCAACATTCTTTTGGAGTTGTGCCCAACATTCACACACCTAGTCGCTAACTTTGTCCTTCTGCTGTTTGCAGGTAGCTTACAGTTCAGCTTTTTGAGGCTAAAAACGAAGCTATAAGAGCAGTGAACCAAAACAGTAAACCCAACAACGACTTGGGCTGAGGGGAACTGTTGAGTGATAACTATCTGTGGATTGATGTGGTATGACCTACTCCTTTCCTAAACAGGTCATGTGATCCATTGTTAATCTGTCGCTGCTTTAATCTTTAAATTGGTCCAATAAAGATTTGAAATCTCTGATGAAAGAGAAACCTGGCCAGGACAGCAGCAATAAAAGTGTGGACTATTAACTATTAACTAACTGTCACACCCAGCAGTTACACTAAAAATAAGCCTACACAAAAATTCAAAGACTGCAATAAACTGTAATAACCTGGGTGCAAATGTTTGCCCTAATGTCACATTGCTAAACATGGTAACAATGGTAATTACTATAGATGGTAATTAGTTTTCCAATTTAAATGCTGTCCATTTCATTATAAAATGTGTTGGATTTTGGATGCTTGCAGTGTGAATATTCTCATGACTTTAGTATATATATTATATACTTCATTTTATATTTAGTATATATTTTTACAAAGAACAACATTTTCTCAACCTGGCTTTTGTATTTTGCTTATTTCTGCACAATAGTGAAGATCAATGAAAGCTGTATTGTGTGTTCATGCACATTATGTTTATGTACATTGTGTTAGCCAGTGAAGCCTCCCTCAGACAGCGAACTATACATAGTCAGCCTGACAATGGGGAGCAGTATGGATGATCGGGCCACTGACAAGCACAGCAGAGCCCGCAGGTAACAGCTGCATACTGTGACATGTTTAGGACTTTGGCCTGCCTCTCACATACACACACATACAAGCATGCACACACACACATCTTCTTCTGCTCTTCGGCTCTTCGGTGACATGCCCTTGTGATGAGACTCCGGAGCTATTTGAGGCATTGTTCTGATAAGCCCTGTGTGTATGTGTCTGTGGCCACGCTGGCATTCAGCAGCGTGGGAAAAAGAACAAATGGCTGATGAGGGCAGTGCATAGCCAAACACAATGCAGCAGGAAGAAATGCTGAAGAAGAACGCAAACAGACGCTACTGTACTGTCTCTTGAGAAACTGGCCTGTTACTGTATGTCAGAGGTAAAGATGGCTCAAATCTACATCAC